TGTAGCACCTTTGAGACTTACTGAAAGAAAGAAGTTGGCAGCAGGAGCCACACAGTCACTCTTTACCATGCATCCTTCAGTTAGCTGAGCAAACTTTCTGGTGAGTCTGGAATTACATGGACTTGTAGCATGTTTATGCCAATATTCTGCTCACTGCAGGAGTGTCGCTAAAAGGATGGGGGCAAAATGAAAGCACCCTCAAGTAAGAATTCTGCCCCCTCAAGAATTATCCCTTTAGTTTCCAAATTTCCAATATTGCAGATGCTTAAAACTTCAGTTGAACCTTTGGAAATACAGTTTAGGCTTCCAAAGTAAAGGGCCAGGCAAAGGGACCAAAGAAGTGCAAATGCAGCAGATAGTGTTTCACGTGGAAAGGATTTTCAATCCCTCGCTCTCTGGAATGCTAGCAATTTGGGGAATGAATGAAAAGAACATTTCATTCTTACCTGTGGGAGCAATATTCTCATTCTGATTCTGCCCCCAATCCCTATAGCTACATCCCTGCTTAATTCAACAAAAGGACTTGGGGAAGGGAGGGCTGCTTTTTTCCACCCACGGCATTTCTTCCTCCCACACTGCTTTTCTTGATAATGTCCTAAAAGAGAAATATGGCAGGGAAATATTACACAAGGTGATATTAGTTAGGTCTCCATGGAAGAAGGCATGTAACATCCAAGGCAGTAAGATCATTGTAGCATTAGAAAGATTTTCAGCCTAAGACAAGCATTGCAAAGGAAGCCACAATAACAGCAACAATAAAAAAGTTTGTTGGGCCTGGAGGGGGGGGGCAAAAAATAAGAGACAAGGGCACTGCTGATTCATCCTTCCAAGTGTTCTTCATCAGATGATGAGTACCTGCCGAGAAAGGATGGTAGCAAATATTGCTAGCACAGAGACTCCTCACTGCAAAAGAAATGAGATGCTCTCGGAAATAACTGCACCGTGTCTTGTTTGCGACTCGCTTACAGCACCTGTTGCTATTGAGAAGGGCCCACCTGCAAGATCTTTTCAAGGTTTCTCTTCATTGGTTCTTTTTCTTCATCAGGTTAATTTTTCCCCCTTTAAGCACCAAAGAAAAGACCTCAAGGAGGGAAGAATCACAGCAACGCCTCTGCTTCCCCCAGATGAAAAAGTTATTTTTCCGAGGTACTATTGACCTAGCTCTCCTTCAGCGCTCACAGTTAAAAGGCATAACTCTGCAAAAAGAAAAGAAATGCAGACTCCCTTTTGTCCACCCGCTGCCTGATTCACTCTTGAAGTAGGCCCTTCATAATCAGATCATTTACCCTGACATGCTCTGCTTATAAATGGAAATTTGCATCTGTTAACTGAAAAAAGCCCAGCCTGAAACCCAAGTGAACTCTAATGTGTTAGACAAGCACCCCATCCGAGGTGTCAACACTGTTAAATCTCCCAGTTAGAAGCACCTGGGCAATGCAAGCCTTTCTTTACAGCCAATCCTTTATAGACAAGGAGTGTTTGTATGCCGGATAAGTTTCCTCCTTCACTGGCCCTAAATGTATCATGCTGATATATTTTTCTTTTGTCTTGAATCTGCAGGTACACAAGTAAATGAAAAAAGACGCAACTGGACAAAATGTTTGTCACACTACAGGTAGGGAGAAAGAAGAGGGTACAAGAGGTTTATCAAATAAAAGTCTCTGTTAATGTCCAAGGCAATGTGGTGAGTTGTGGAGCTGGAGGGAAGGGGCACCGAGAATACAAGGGAACTGAGAAAGCATGACAGTGTTGGCTATGAAGGTCACAGAGTAGATCATCCCTTGACCTGTTTCAGCGCCCAGGCAATTCAAGGTCTAAGCCAACAGGACACCCGCACAAAGCTGGTTCAGACAAGGGCAATCTATAAACAGAATCAAAAGCACTCTAGGATCTATCAGGAAGGGGATCCAATGGAGAAGGTGTCATGGAATCAAAGAAGGGTTAGACCCAGTTTAAAGACATAGACTCATAAAATCATAGAGTCAGAAGAGACCAAAAGGGCTATCCAGTCCAACCCTCTGACATGCTAGAACTCACAATCAAAGCACCCCCCCCCCCGGACAGATGGCTATTCAGTCTCTGTTTAAAAACTTTCAAATAAGGAGACTCCACCACTCTCCAAGGGAGTGTGTTCCACTGTCAAACAGCTCTGACTGTCAAGAAGTTCCTCCTGAGGTGGAATCTCTTTTCCTGTAGTTTGAATCCATTGTTTTGGATCCTATTCTCTGGAGCTGCACAAAACAAGCTTGCCCCATCCTCAACATGATGCCTCTTCAAATATTTAAATGGGGCTATCATGTCACCCCTTAACCTTCTCTTCTTCAGGCTAAACATACCCAGCTCCCCAAGTCCCTCCTCATAGGGCTTTATGGTTTCCAGATCTTTCACCAATTTCAAGGAACCATCTTAGCCCACAACTAAGGCCTATAGACCTGTGATTCAAGAGCCCCAGAGTCAGATGCTCCCGGGAGGTATCTACTGCTAGCAAGAAATTTGGAAAACCAATGGATTCAGCCCTGTTAGACACCATGGTTGAAGCAAAGTGATCCACTATGCAGACTCCCTCTCATAGAGATAAGTCATGAAGCGATAAGCCACGAAAAGTAGTCTTTAGGGATTGAAATGTAGCCCTCACTAAACTTCATGTCTGGTCAAAAACTTGAATCTGAGCCACCAGCTTGGTCCAGTGCAAACCCAACACAGTCTATTGCGCCACAAAAGATTTGCCTGAGAAACTAATGCTAACCTGCAAAGCAAGCAACATTGCTTTTCCAATAGCACTTATGCTACTGAAGAACTAAGCAGCACTATCAACAGACTGTAAGTATGCACTGGGAAGAAAAATCACACCTCATTTTAGAGATGTTTGTAACAGCCTGCTACCACTATTGCCACCCCCACCTTCCAAGGGAATGGCCCATTTTGGAGGCGCAGGAAATTTGGAATGAGTTTGAAGATTGTTCAGCCAAGCAAACAAAATCCCAAATTGCTTTGAGCAGAAAAAAAAAGAAGAAGTTCTGCCTACCTACGTGAGCTGGGGGTGGCAGGAAAATGAATCAAGCTAAGGAGCCAATGCAACTTGTATGGGACCAAGGGGAGAGGGAGTGAGCAACAGCCCTTTGACATTTTCCAGCTCGATGCAAAGGGAGCATAATGTGATCCATTAAATGACAGCAGAGTGTTATTGTTTTCAAAGCAGAGTTGTTTTTATCACCTATGTGTGACAGCTTGGTTTGATTTCTAATGGTGGCATTAGTTGCTCCTGGATGACCATTCCTTTTTTTTTTTAGGTTGGCAGTTGGCTAATAGCCCAGCCTCACTGACTGATGCTTCATTTGTGGGAGCAAAGTGGATGCGATAATTTCTTCAAAACTGGGGTAGCTCCTTCAAGTGTTTGGAATGAGATGTCTCACCAAACCCGGGGATGCTGACACCTTTCTTACTGAGTACAGCAGACAGAAAATACATGGGAGTCAGAGGGTTAAGCATTTCTTAGTTGGAGAAAACAGAGGAATATGTTTGTTTTTTTCAAATGTTAAAAGTATGGTTCCTGTTATTATTGTTCAGAGTCTGGCTGGACTCCGAACATGATTCACCCCATCCAATATTTTATGCAAGAATGTGAGTATCCAGAAGATGCTGAATCATGCATGGAAAACTGTGGTGGGTGGGGGTTAAGGACCTTAGGAGGATGTACCCCACAACATACAGACCCAATTTTTTGAATTAAATATTTGAGGTTGGGGAACAGTTTCACCACATTTTGCCTGACAGGCCATTTAAGGCCAGGGAAGACCTATTTTCCCATAAAAAGGAACCCAGAAGTCAAATACATGGTCCAAAGGAAATTGACTAGTAGGGTACTAATGGACTGCAACTTTCCTTCTACCCACCTTTGGAATATACCTGCAGCAGCCAACTGATATTTCCAGTAAAGACCACATGTTGCTTCTGCAGCTCCTTGGTACTTCCAAGTTCATCTGGATGAGCTCTGACTTTGTAACA